TTCCTGACTGAACTTATTACAGTTTTTAGAGTTAGGCTGAAGTGAATGCTCGTTGCTGCTGAACCTGTTCTGCTGCCTTTGGAATTTGTGTGTGAGCTTGAGGAGCTTGCAGAGATTTCTAGAAAATCCTGCGTGGGAAATCTGTTTGTACTCGACCATGCGAAACAGGTAGTCAGAAAGTTGGCTCATGTAAATTAAAAATTAATTTTCCTTTCATCAGATGAAAATATCTTTCTGGAGCTGTCCTGCAGATGTTCCCTACAGGGTGAATTTTTTTAAATGTGAACATATGCAAAGTAAAATTTCGGCACCATGTTCTCACTGATTATTTATACTGTTAAGCATAACTTTTTTTGGATAAGTAATCAGGTGAATCTAGGCTTTACTGTAATTATCACAGTGATAGTTTTTATCTAAAAATATATAATGGAAAAATCACTGTTTGGAACATAATGAGCTTTTATCAGTTCCAGTTATTTACCAAATTTTGTTTATAAGGTTACTTTCCTTCGCTAATATCTGGATGAGGGCTATGAGTTCTCAGTCTTCTGGCTGATACTGACTTGTCCAGGAATTCTGCTTCAATGAAAAAGAACAGCCTTTAGTCCTGTATTCTTGGGCATTTCTGAGCTTGGTAGTGCTACTGGTTTCAATCAGGAGGCAAATGCACAAGCTGACCCTGCAGCCCTTATATGGGGAACCAGTTTATTTGTATGTTACTTGCTCATTCTGTGCTTACACGGTGTGTCAGACTCCAATGCATGTATGTTTCTTCTGGGAAAACCCTGGATGAGTAGGGATGGGGTTCTGATCTTCCTAGTTTGCTTCAGAAGAAGTCTTGTCCATGCTGGAAACTTGCTAATATTTTGGACTACTTGGATGGAAAAGAGCAAGTTAGGGTTTAATGTTTGTGCCATCAGACTCAAGGATGAGAACTGAACACCCTTGATCCTGGAGGAGTCATGCAGCTCTGTGTACTGGAGGGGTTCCTGCAGATAAATCTTTTATGAGCAGTGCCAGGAACCTTCCAACAAAGAATTAGAGTTTGGCATGTGATCCAAAACACATAGCAGGCTATAGAACTTGAGTTGTCTGAGCTGCAGAGCACAAGGGACAGTTGTTGGTACAGATGTGATATTGGGGAAGGCAGGACATGCACTATTTTTGTGCCTCAACATGATCAGGGAGCTATTTAGAATTGTGTTACAGCATATGTCTAGATACAAATATATTTGTGCATGGATGGAGACCTTTCATCTTTTCCATTGATTTTAGAATTCTGACTACCATATTTACATAACTGTGGCTTTGTTCTGTTTAATTTTTTATTTATTTTTAATTCTTTTTGAAATTGCTACTGTGCTGGCTTGGGCCTTGTGGTCTGAAGGGCCACACCCTTCTAGCCAGCTGTAACTTTCTAAACTAGGTTTGGTTATGCTTCACTGAGAAATTTTTTGACAAGAAAGTTGCATTTTATGTTTCCTATGAAAGTTTCTTTGGTCTATTTCATGAAGGTCACATACAACTAGAGTCAGGTTTCAGAGCTATGAGAAGTGTTTAGTTGCACCACAAGTGTTCCCCCACCCATCTTAGAGTGTTGGTCACCGTGACTTACGAAGTACAGGAGAAAAAAGAACCATGTTTCCAGCTTCTGAGATACTATTGTTTATAGGAAGATTTGTTCAGTATTAAATTATTGTTTGCACATGGTATAATGCATTATTAGGTAGCCTTTTTTCACCACCACCCCCAACCAATATATCAGCCATAATCCAGGGATATCAAAGATGAAAAGATGTGCTTCATTAACTACATAGGGAACAAAAGGAAGATGGGAAATTTATCAGTGGGACAGGGGACTTGATTGGTCAGGATGTGAGAAGGACTCAGCTGCTGAATTTCTCTTCTGCCACAGTTGTTACTGTCAAGACTATTAAGGCTGGAGTAGATTTTGCATTACTATTCTAGTCAGTATTTGATTAAGACTATGCCCTTAATAATGATTTTATGTTATGGATTATAACTCTGGCTTTTATACTACTTCTCCAAGTATGGCTTTTTAGCAGCAGGCCCTGAGCTTAACTTTTTTTTTCCTTTAACAAGGGCCAAGCTCTGGTCTTCTTGACTCTAGGTTAGCTGCCTGACTTACCAGCTAAGGTACTTTAGGCTTGCTGATGAAAGATGACTTTTTTAACTCACGAGTCCTTCGTGTGAAATAGTAACACAACACCCACCCTCCACAGGGGCAATGACCAAGGGTATTTTTTGTTTCTCTGACAGGCAGTTGCTTATTGAGGATTAACTGCTTGCTTGTCCTTTTATTCTCAGTTATTGTCCTTTAAGTTCACAAGTTCTCAGACTTTGGCAGGAGTCATAAAAGTGACAGCTCTTCACTGTCATTTTCTTTCATAAGGGTACAGCTCTTCCACAGTTCTTCCTCCTCTGTTGGTAGAATCAGGTTTGCCTTTGTGCACATACCATTCTCATGTTTCAGGGGGAAAAAAGCCAGGCAAACAACCTTTTATTTTAACCTCTGAAGTAATAATGTAAGGTGAATTAATGGTTAAATTGATTAATCTGTGTTTTTTCCATTTAAAATACCAAAATACCTATATGTGCCTGCATTTTGAAATACATGCTGTATTCTCTGTAGATAACACCAAAAAATCAGACTGCAGATTTCTGAAATGTGAATTATTGTCCTTCTGCATGAGTGCTGTGATGAGCTGAAGATGACTTATGGTTGTGATTGTGTGTGCATATTTATACTGCCCTGTTGAAGGGCTCGAGTGTATTTTAAGCAGGAACAGCATTCTGTCGCTGCCACAGAAGCCAGTGGAAATGTGAGTTTAGTTAATATGGGAAATTATTCACACTGACAGTAGTATAGTGTGAATATTTGTCAGGGACAAATATTTTAGTAGCAACTACTTAGAGAATCTTGCTAAGCTAACAAAGGAAGTTGATATGTGTGAAATCTGGAGTAGGCGTTCAGGAGAGTAGAAACAAGATTGGTGCAGTAAGGTCATAGTTTATGTCCATAACTTTAACAACCTAGTACCTTAGCAATTTAACATCTGTATGCTCTTCCTGATATTTTAATGAAAACAACAAAATATTTCAGAAACTGCTTCTTCTGACTAATACTGCTGCCTGCCTCTTGGTGTTTCTTTATGTCTTTTCCCATGGATAGTTAATTTTTAACTTTATTTATGAACAAAAGAATTTCTTATGTTAGCACATTTGCACTAATCTGAGTACCAGTGGTGAGCAACTGTTGAACTCTTTTCAAAGATTGCAGTCCATTTCTGGGAAAGTGAGAAGCTTTCAATATAATAAATGCCTTTTGATTTGCTGCACGTTGAGTTCAGTATTTTAACTTTTATGTTGTCCTTTTCACCCCAGGTTAATCTGGGTGCACTTGGGTTGGGTGATGATGAAGAAAACTCCCTCCTTGTGCATATACTTTGTGCAGTGAGATGTTTGGTTTGTTTTGGAGAAAATTACACCCTGTGAGGGAAGTGCTTCACCTGATGAATGCTGCATAGAAGCTAAGATGCCATGAAAGGCAGCAATTTAGATCATGCCATAGAAACTTGTAGGTAGAGTTTAGATAAGCAAATTCTGAGGTCTATGATTTAATAATTACAGGCTAATATTACCCATGGGGTCCACACTGCTCTCAGATGATTCATAGAGCTTATCACTGATTTCCTGTGTGCAACTATTGCAGGGTGTAAATTGATGGGGGAGGGTGGACGTTTTCTCTTTCATTTGAGTCCCTTTCTTAGAGCATTACTGTGTGTTGCCTGTGAATGGGGAGCGCAGGTTGGCTCTTCCATGAACTGCCTGCCAGAAGGGGCAGCAGCTGGTAATTAATTCCCAGTGAACCCTAAAAGCTTGGGAGTTCATCTTGTTAGTCCTGGGTCAGGCTCCCATACACATTCCCATGGATCAGCAAAATTCTCAGGAAGACCTAAGGTATAAACTAGTGGAAATGGAGAGTTACTGTACTTCTTGTGCCTGTGAAATCACTCCAGGGTCTCATGTGTTTTAGAGGCTGGTATAAAATAACATTTTCCATGTTTTTGTGTTTCTTCTCTTTGGTCTATCCTGTTTCACATGCATTGTCTTTAATCACTGCTTTTGCTTCACTTAGCCTCAGTCCTTGTTCTTCTCAGAGGTGGCAGTTTTCTTGTGTGTTTTCTGTATCAGAGCTCTCGTTTATTAAAATTTTATTCTTTCTCTGCTATGAGATGATAACAACAGCCAAAGGAAGAGTGGTAACTATAGTATGATGGCAGTGAAAGGCTATATGAAAATGGAGCCCTTGAAAGAGGGCAGGAAGTGGAATAAAGGACTGGCTCCTCATAGACCTAACACTTTTAAAAAACTGAACCTTTGCCTTAAGGAGCAGGAAGATTTTCCTCCCTCAGTTGTGTGTGAGAGGGAGAATACTGGACAAAGACCCAAAAGGTGGTACTGACAGGCAGCAGATAATAATGATTTCTGATACCAGTCAGGTGTTGGGTTCATGCTGCATTGTGCAGAGCAATGTAGCATCAATAATACTGTCTTTCAGAAGAAAACAGTTTATTTCTTCAGAGATTCATGTGGTGTTTATTTTGGATGGGCTTTACTCATAGTCAGCAGAATCTCTTGCTTTCCAGCTGTTGTTAATTTTTGTAGGAACAGAAGTAGTAAAACCTGTGTATTGCCAGACATTGTACACAGACAACTTTGCTTAGTGGTTGCATTTTCTGATCTGAAAAAAAAAAAAAAGATTGAGCGAGAAGAACAAAACAGGAAAAATGATTTGCATAAAATCGTGCAGCTGGTTTGTGGCTGAACTAAGACTGAAGCTCAGTTTCTTTGTTTCTGACCAGTTGTTCATACTTGCTGTTACTTTTGTGTATTGTCATAACCTTTTTTCATGAAATTTGTAAAGGTGTGGAAGTGGCAGAAACTAATTCTCTCCTTCCTTTTTTCTTTTTTTGTAGTCCAGGTTAAAATCATATTTTGTGACATTCGAAGAGCAAACAATACTATGGCTCCATGAATTTCAAAACTTCAGGAAGTGCGGCAGCCCTCCCTACCTCCAGCTTTACTTCCCTGCTGTTCTTATTGGGATCTGTGATTTCATCCCCACTGGATATGCAGTGACCTGCCTTGGCATCAGAGCAGAGGAAGCTGTTTGTGCATCAGGGAAAGCCATGGCCTTGGGCTTGAATGTTTTAAACCTCTTTTATAAGTTCAAAGTGTTGGTGCTTGTCACTTTATTTGTGATGGTGCTATGGACCACATTCGGTTACTTAGTGGACACCAGACAGGAACTTCCTAAAGCTAAGATTATGGTGGAGTTTTTCAGGAAGGTAACCAGCCTGGAGCACAGTCAAAAGGAAGAGAAGATTGAATCCACTGCAGGTGTTCCCATGGTGAAGTCATTTCAGAGTCCCTGCCCAGCTCTGTCTCCGTACCTGCGTAAGTAATGGTGTTTTCCTCTCCTCTCTGACAAGTTATCCTCTGTACTGCTGCTGATTTGGATTTCTTCCTAGCCATATTCCAGTTGGATACCTTTTCTGTGAAACAAATACAACCAGTTGCAGGAAGCACTCCTGGGTGAGGGAGTGTCTTGTGGCACCCAGTGCCTGTGCTGGGTCTGGCTGGGAGAGCAGCTGCTGCTGCACTCTGCATTTCTTGATAAAACAGCTTTGGTAACACACCAGTAATGCGGCTACTCTGAACAGTGTTTGTACTCTGATGAGGCTTTGTCTCAGTCTGTCCTGGCCCCCTAAAATCCAGTGGGGTGGGCAGGAGGCTGGGAGTGGATGTAGCCCAGACTGCTGATCCCAGCTGACTGCAGGGGCATCCCATACCTTGTGACTGCCATTCATCATGCTCAGCAGTAAAAGCTCAGGGAAAGGAGGAAGGAGGGATGTTCATGGTGGCAGCATTTGTCTTCCCAACAACTGCTGTATGTGCTGAAGCCTTGCTTCCATAGATGTGGCCAGACACCTGCCTGCCAATGGGGATAATGAAGGCATTTTTCTTTTTCCCTTCTTTACATGTGCATCTTCTGCTTTTTTAAAAATTAAATTATTTTTGTCTTAACCACTAGTGTTTTCATCTTTCTTCAGTTTTTTTGCCTTTTCATTATTAAATATACTTTTGTGTCTCTGTATTGACAATTGAAAGACTTCACAACTCTGTTGGAGTTAGCACTAATTATAATGAAGGTTCAAATGGGTGACTGTTTTCATGGTTTGGGCATTTTTATTATTCTACTTTTTTCTTGGCTTGATACTGCTAGCAGCACCAGGCTCCTGCTTTGCAGGATCGTGTCATTATCTTCTTTCTTTTCCTTATTGTGAACCTGATTAGGGATTTGTTTGGGAAGCTGGATTCTTCCTTCTTTCCTGATGTAGTCCAAAAAGTTTGTCTCCCTGCACACCCTCACCCTGACCCCAAGACACATTTGAATAATTAAATGCAGCAATGGCTGTAGCCATCAGAGGCGCCTGTACCATACTTTTTCATGGGCTTGCTGAGTCCAGAGGAGATGGGATGATAGTTCAGTGCAAGAGAAGGGATGAAAATTTAATTTGGCTACAGAAAGCCTTGGTATGTTTTATCTTACTAATTCATAACCTTAAGCCTGCTGTGCTTTTTTTGTGCTTTTGGTACCGATGACTTCTTACAGCCACAGTCCTATGTCTCTTTCCCTTTTCTTCTCCTCTGCTTTGCCCTGGCAGTCATTTCTGGCCAGTCCTTCTGCAGTAGCTCAGAACTTCTCTTGGGTTTTTAAAAAATATTTTTATTTTATTGCTACTATTTCATAGTCAGTTTAAGCATACTTGACACACTCTCCTTCCACTGCCTGCATAAAACACTTTTAGTACTACTTTTCTCTTGGAAGGGGCAGGGAAGCCATTTGGAGCTTGAACCCGGGCATCTTACACTGATTACATAATGCCTCATTAAGTGATTGGACCAGCCAGAACCTGAAATGACTCAGGAAAGGTTCCTGTGCTTCTCTTGCAGGAGGTGCCAGGAAACTCTCCTTCAAACCATCTGTTACCCTGGAGGAAGTACAAAAGGAGAACCCTCAGGTAGCCAAGGGCCGGTACCACCCTGTGGAGTGCTCAGCCCTGCAGCACGTGGCCATCCTTATCCCACACCGCAACCGAGAGAAGCATCTGCTGTACCTCCTGCAGAACCTCCACCCCTTCCTGCAAAGGCAGCAGCTGGATTATGGCATCTACGTCATTCACCAGGTGAGGCAGCTCTGCAGAGCTGTTTGAGTGAGGGTTATGGCTGCACCCTGCAGCCTGAGGAGAGCCTTCTGCTGCCTCTGCTGTCTGACAACAGCCCTCCAAGCCTGCCTCCCAACAATTCTGCTTACTGGGGGATGCAAAAGTGCCTGTAGCCACTGCTGGTGGCACTCCTGGATCTCAGGGCTGGGGAGTATTGGCAGTGTCTTTAACTGGTGTTCATTTCTCAGTCCAGGTAATTTGGTTCTCATGCAAGGTAAGCATCCTTTGCCCTGCTAATGCGACTCACTTCTCTTGCAGTATCCACACATGTAGGCTGGCCTGTTCTGTCTTCACATTTGGATAGAAGGCCCCAGTTTGTCTCTAGCCCTTCTCTCCCATCAGGCTCTTGTGCTTAGTAAGTCGTGTCTATCATGTGGTTTTACTTTTGCTTTCTCAAACTAAGCACGACAGCTCCTGCTTGTAGCTGCTTTATTTGCCCAGCAAATGTGGTGGGAAGTAGTCATCGTGGAAGAGCACCTTGTTCCTGAAGGATTTATTAATTTCTTTATTTGCATTCTTTGCAGAAATGCTGTTTCAGTAAAACTTAAGCAGACCTGTGCCACATTGTCTTTCAGCAAGGTGCCTATGTTCTGATTGCATGTGCTAAAAGCATGATATATTTCTCTTTTGTAATCTGTTGTCTTTTTCTTGATTGTTATGTTTGCTTTCTTTTACTGTTGTTTACTTACATGTTCTGCTTTGGCTCCAGAAAGTCATTTGAGACAACAGAAGAAAAAGGTGACAGGTTAAATACGGTTTCTCTGCCCTCCTGATTAAAGAGCTTAGAGTCAATAAATCAGTTAGAGACAGTGCTTTCTAGGTGAAAGCTTCCACTCTCACACTTCTGCTCAGGTGAATGTCTCAGCAGAACAGCAATAAAAGTCATGGCATGATATTTTTACTTGGAATGAACTGTTCTTTCATTGTTTAGAGTCATCACGTGGCCTCTAGAGTGGAAAAATGAGGGCTTTTTTTCCTGCATTAATAGGTACTATAATCATACATTTACTGACTCATTCTAGCAGGAAGCAGTGTTTAGGAATAAATTATTGGGAGAAAGGCTATATCTTTTTAATTTATTGAAATATGTGGAGAACTGCTGTTGTCATGTTGTCAAGGCTGGAAGCTTTCACGTAGCTTTTCCATGTAGACAGGCATGCCCAAAGACTGGAAAGTGGGTCTAACAAAACTCTTCTGGGGAAAATCCATTTCCACTCTTGATTTGTGATGTCATTAGTTGTTCTAAGTCTCTTTTGCAGAAAGACAAACAGGATTTAATTGTTAAAATACACAGTCTGAATAACTTCTTTGCCAACATAAGCTGGTCTTGTGGTCAGTGTTATTTGTCCATAGAAACAAAGGGGAACAGTTCTGTCCTCGATAAAAGATGAGTAAATTTTCCATTTGTTCAGTGTGTGATCTGACATGGAAAACTGCCCTTCCTGGAAAGCAGTGTCAGCTGGCATTTTGCTGCTGTGGCGGCTTGCACTGATGAGGAAGACAGAATTTCAGCAGATGAAAGAGGCTGTCCTGAACTAAGCTGTATTTGATACTCAATACAAGTGATGTTCTCCAAATGTACCTTACCAGACATCTGATTTGTTCTGTTCACTCAATAACCTATGTTTTCATCCTCAGAAGGAGACTGTCTCATGGGTATTTTTATATACAAGACATTTTAAGAAAAACAAAACACACACACACACAAAAAAAAAAAATTCAGAAATTTGACATCCTGATTTTGGGTGAATTGTATCTAAATTTTTTACTGGAAAATTTCTCTCCAGAGGATGCATGCAATTGATTATCCATCCTGTAGTTTCTCAGAACGTGCACTGTATTGAATTTTTTAAACTGCAGGGATGGAGTTGTGAATCCCATAAATCTTCTTCATTCCAGAGCAGATGGTTGTTTTAGTGAAAAAATCCTGCTTTAAAGCAAAGTGTTACTTTATAGAACAATAAAATATGCTTTGTATACAACAGCTTTTCCTTACAGCTCACCTTCTCTCAGCCAGGGGAGGCCAACTTCTTTCACATTTTCCATGGACCCTTCTAGAAAATTTCCTAGAATTCCAAACAGTTTCTCTTGAAAACATTTTTTTATATTATTCTTTAAAGTACACAGGTTCCTTGCTGTGGAAAATTACTGTCTTACCTGTTTCTGGGAGGGTAGGGGTTGGTCCTGTGGCTCCCAAGTGGGAACTTGAGGCAAATCCTCACTTTGTCCTCAAGAGCAGAAAGCCTTCTGCAGACTGGTACACTGTGCAGCCAGGTGAAAAATGAAAATATCAGGATAAGCACACATCTTGCTCCAAAATGAATGTTGATGTGATAAGCTTACAAAACTGCCAGCTGTATAGGGATATACTTGTACCTCAGAGGTGAAATTAGATTTTTGAAAAGTGAATATTAAGTAACTTAGAGCAAAAGCAAACGATGAAGACTAGTGAAAAGGTGAAGCTCTGTGCTAGGAGCATGCTTCCTGCAACAGCATCATCAGGTTATAGGTAGGAGGTAAAAATGAAGAGACCTGCTTTTTATTCCCACTCTGCCACCTGTGTGTGAGCTGAGGAAGTACATGGAGCTCTTTAAGCATTGCTGTCCTCCAAGCTGAGGGGACAGGCATAAATCGTTCATGGCAAGGGCTCTGACATCTAGAGACTAATTAACATGGGATTAACATGGGGTTTGGTTTTGTTTTGCTTTTATTAATAGGAACTTCCATGAGCCTTACTGATAGAGTTGTATGGAGTACCAGTTTCTAGACTGAACTGATACCTCTTCTGTTGTGGAGCCTGGTGGTAACTCCAGGACCAGGGGCATTTATGCCATGGAGCACTCACACTTGTGGTGGCCAGCTAAGCACAGGCTTTCCTGGCCCTGGCTGGGTGTGTTTGTGGTGAATAGAGGCTGGAGAAACACTTTGCACTGTTGGCCACTTGGATGCTGTGCCCACTGCACTCTGTGCAGTTACTGTTTCCAAGGTGCTGGAAAAGCCATGCAAGTGTGGTTGCAAACCCTGCAATGGAACAAATGCCCCGGAGCAGCTCTGGTTCAAAAGCTGTGGCACCTTTTTCAGAGTTGTTTTTCCATTCTTTTCCACAGGCTGGAAACACCAAATTTAATCGAGCCAAACTGCTGAATGTAGGATACCTAGAGGCCATAAAAGAAGCAAACTGGGACTGTTTCATTTTCCATGATGTGGATCTGGTGCCAGAAAATGACTTTAACATTTACATGTGTGACACACAACCAAAGCACCTTGTAGTTGGCAGGAACAATACTGGATACAGGTAGGAAACCAGGAATATGGAAAGAATACCGACAGGGAAATGCCATGTTACTGATAATGTTCCTCTTCTGATGGAGCTGTGTGCTGGTATCTACCCTTCCTCCTGACACCAGATTTAACACTTCACCTCTCTGGAGTACAGGAATGGACAGACACCTCTGCAGTCAGCCCTGTGGTCACCTGCACAAATTATCATTGCCATTGTTTTGGTTTCTGGAGTTGAATTATGGGAGGGGAAAGCAATGTGCCAGAGGATGTGCAGAGACCTTCTAGCAAAGCTAGATACATATTTGTAGTTTTCTGATCCTGTGATTTGAGGGACTGATCTTACTATAACAGAACTTGCCACTTCTGCTGTTGAAGAGGTAATGTCTGATATTGAGAGCTCAAGTGTGGGAATTTGCCAAGGGATAGGGCTGTCCTTTAATTATTTGACTGAACAGTATAACACAGGATCATTCTGATTTTTAAATTAGTCCCTTAAGTGCTCATGTGATATAAATAGTTTAAAGTGAAAAGTCAGGTTCAGTCCACCTCACAGAGAAAAAGCTCCTGAGCTTGGTGAATTTAATGACTGAAAGTGCTTTCATTGAACTGACTTCTTTCAAGATTCAGTTCATGTCACGTCACTCTAAATATTGATTAGAACTGGGCTTTTCAAAAGCTGATCTCTAAGTACTTTGAAGTAAAGCTCTGCTTTGCTTCTGCATTTCCTTTGTTAAATATATGAGAAAGAGGTGGGATGTGCCAATAGCAACACAGAACAATACTCACTTTCCAGCCATTTAGTGAAAACTGGAACAAGTACGTACGTACTAGACTTGTGACAGGCTTTTGGAGCACTTGCAGAGCCTTGCAGAGTATTCCACTGGAATGCTGGTGGCTTGAATTTGATAATTCAACTTGAATTGATAATTAATACTTTTTCTGTGTTACTGCCTGTGTTTATATTTCCATGAAGTGGGGTTAATAGTGCTCTCATTCCAAGGCATGTATGGAGGAATTCAGATTCTGAGCTCAAGAATGATACTTGAACTGAGCTGATACCACAGATTGAAATCCCAGTTGGGTAACCTCAGTGTTTTGCTGCAGCTGAGGTGAGCATACTGAGACATGTTGCTCAGATGAGCCAGAGAAAACTGAGCCCATCCATGTTCTATATTAACACAAAATGTCCTGGGCAGAAATGCAGGTTGGTTTGTGTTTTGTGGGATTTTTATGGTTTGGTTTGATTTTGGGATGTTTTTGGGGGAGGTGGTGGTGGTTGTTTGTTTTTGGGTTTTTTTTTGGTCTGTTTCTTGGTTTTGGGGTTTTATTAGTTACCTGATGTGGGGTGGGGGGAATTATTTTTCTTCCAGGGGACTATATTCTATTGTGATTCAGTGTGCAGTAATCTCAGCAGCTATGTGCCTTTGGAGAGCCAGGGCCTTATCTTTAGCTACATAAACTACAGCTCAGTTTTAGATTCTTTTAGACAGAAGACTTGTATATTAAAGCTTTGAAGATAAGGTTGGGAAAACTCTTATTTTAATTACGGTTTTTCCTTGAGACCAGCACAACATCTTTTCCTCCTGACGATTCCTGTTGTATGTATTTGCTGTCCAGTTTTAAAAATCCCAAAGGAGTTGATGTTCTCTTGTCCTCAGGAAAGGGGTGGTTACAGGGGTTGTTACAGAGATGCATTTTTGCAGGTGATGCCAGCTGGGAGCAAGTTATGCCTGGGCCCTCCTAGTTCTGTGCTGCCTGAGGAGGGTTGAGTGGGCAGCACTGTCCTGGTTACAGGATCACAGAATGGGTGGAGTTGGAAGAGACCTCTGGGAATCATCCAGTCCAACCCCTCTGCCAAGGCAGGGTCACACCTAGAGCAGGTGACATAGGAACTCATCCAGGGGGGTTTGGAATGTCTCCAGAGAGGGAGAGTCCACAACCTCCCTAGGCAGCCTGTTTCACTGCTCTGCCACCCTTCATGGAAAGTTCTTCCTCATGTTGAGGTGGAACTTCTTGTGTTTTTGTTTATGGCCATTGCTCTTCATCCTGTCAGTGGAAACCATTCAAGGATCTGGCAACATCCCCTTGGCACCTAGCTTGCAGATATTTTTTTGCATTGATGAAATCCCCGCTCAGTCTTCTCCAGACTAAACAGGCTCAGCTCCCGCAGCCTCTTCTCCTAAGAGAGATGCTCCAGACCCCTCATCATCTTTGTGGCCTCTGCTGGACCCTCTCCAGCAGTTCCTTGTTATTCTTGAACTGTGGAGACCAGAACTGAACACAACACTCCAGATGTGGCCTCTCTAGGGCCGAGTAGAGGGGGAGAATCCCCACCTTGTCATGCTGGCCCCACTCTTCCCAGTGCACCATAGCTCTGACTCCTTTGGTGTCTGTCTTTGCAGTGGTGTAGGGGAATTACAGGGTGAATACAGGGGTGTGTATATGGATGTGTGTGCATGGGAAGTCAGTTTCCAAATTCTGGGGTGGCTGGAATGGGATGTGGTCCTGTTGGTGGTTGTCCTGAAAGCACGGCTGGGAGGGCTCTGCCCTGCTGTTGCTGTATATGGGACCTCCTTGCTGTCCATTCCATTTGTTTACTGCATTCCTCTGGAGTATCCATAGCAGAAGTCTCAAGGTAGTAATATGCAATTAAAACTTGATGGAACTTCCTCTACCTTGTGGCTTGTCTCCTCCAGGGGAAGAGATAAAGGAGAGGGAACAAATCTGTTTACAAGTCAGGCCTGACCAACCTGATAGCCTTCTCTGATTTGACTAGCTTGGATGAAGGTGTAGTAATAAGATAAGGTAAGATAATGTTTATCTTAGGAAGGCTTTCAACACTGTCTCCCATAATGGCCCCACTGAAAAAGTGATGAAGTATGGACTGGTAAGTGGACAGTGAGATGGGCTAAAACTGGCAGAACTACTGGGCTCAAAGGGTTCTGATCAGTACAGCAAAGTCCAGCTGGAGGTCAGTCACTAGTAGTTTACACCAGAGTTTGATACTGGGGTTGGTACTGGTTAGTCTTCATCAGTAACCTGGAAGGTGCAGCAGATTGCACCCTCAGCAGGTTTCCATAGGACAGAAATCTCACAGGGTTGGTTTATGTAGAAGGGCCTTTTTCAGGCTGGAGAATGTGGCCAGCAGGAATCTGAACAGAGTTAAACAAAGGGAAATGCGCCTGGAGAGAAGTAACTCTCTGCACCAGTAGCTGCTGGAGGCCATCTGTCTAGAAAGCAGCTTTACCAGAAAGGATCTGGGGCCAGCAGTGTGCCCTTGTGACAGAGGCCAGTGGCATCTTGTGGTGGGAGTTACCAACATGTTGAGGGAGGCAATTGTTTCCTTGTACTCAGCACCATGGAGATGATACCTGGAGTCTTGTGTCCAGTTCTGGGACATACTGGAGCAAGTCCAGGAGAGCCTGAGAAGAGGATTAAGGAATTGCAGCATATGACATGTCAGGGAGGCTGGGAGTGTTGGGACTGTTTAGCAGAGAGAGGGCAGAGGGGGATCTTAGGAATGTGTATACGTACCTGATGGAAGGAAGTAGAGACTGTGGAGCCAGACCCTTCTCAGTGAAAGGCAAGAGGTAATGGGCACAGACTGAAATACAGGAAATTCCACTTAAACATATGAAAAAGCTTTTTTTTGTTGTTTTTTTACTATGAGTATGGTCAAATACTGGACAGGCTTCCCAGAGAAATTTTGGAGTCTCATTCCTTGGAGATGCTCAGAATCTTACTGAACAAGTTCCTCAGCAAGTTGCTTTTGAGCAGAAGGGTTGGATTAGTCTATGGGCCCCTTTAGCATTCACAGTTCCTCTGTGATGCTGAGTAAAAATCAGCCAGGAAAAACAGTCTTCAGGGAGGTTGTGTTGAGGGTCTTGTGTTTATTTATTTTCTTCTTTGGTGTTTCTCAAATTGTATTCATGGTAAACTAGAACTAATAATAAGCCTTATCTGGCATGTCAAATGCCATGAGTCCTTTCTGGCCTTGGCAGTTTGTTCATCTGTTTAGATTCACATACATGTACAAATGCAATCTGCAGCTGTGTGCCCATCACCTCTGAGTGAGCTGGGGCAAGGTAGTAGAGCCTGTGTTGTAATGTTATGCTAAGGGCCAAGACAGAGGAGGGCATCATAGAAAGCAATTAGCAGAACGGCCTAAGAAGACAAACATGATATGTAAACATCTTTTTAAAGCAGATACGTTTTTCAGGATGAGGAAGGTAAAAGTTAGAAATTAATCTCCTTTAGAGCTGAGCTCCATTACATTGGGTTACTAAGTAACTTGCACTGTACCTTACCTTAGAATTGGAATTGTTATTGCAATAGCCAGTAGCACATGTCCCCTTGCTGTGAGCTGATTTCTTTCCAAGTTTTTCAGATTCAGCTTTAAGATATCAGTGGCTCACTGTTGTTACTGAAGAGCTTCCACTACATTAGTGCATAGCTTTGTTGCTTTTCTATACCTCAGAGTCCCTGAAATGAAATACCTTTTTGGCTGGCAAGGGGAATTGTGTAAAGAGAGAGAAGCTTCTGAATAAGACTCTGTTCTCTCAGTTGGAGGGGTAATTTTTTCTGACCTAAAGCATATCATAATCTTTTTGTGAAGAGAGCAGGACCAGCTTTTAAGAATTTGTGCACCCTTAACTCTGTGAAAGACAAGTCTAGACCTGGAGTATCAGGGTGATGCTTTCATTGTTGATAGAATTTGGCTTAATTTTTCATTCTCTCTTCTTGTACATCTAGGTTACGGTACCGGGGATATTTTGGAGGTGTAACTGCTCTTACAAGAGATCAGTTTTCCAAAGTGAATGGATTTTCTAACAACTACTGGGGTTGGGGTGGAGAAGATGATGACCTTCGAATCAGGTAAACAATGAGGAATTAGTTTTAAGAAAAAATTCTAAGAGCCTCTGAGAGCACAACACCCCAGGGGCCTTTATTCAAAACAATGTTGAATAGTATTGCAGTGGAGATGGGAAGTGTAAGACTTAGTTCTGTAAGGAGTTTCCTCTTTGCAAGGGTTAGGTATGTCTGATGCCTAATTCTCTTCTTCACAGCAGTGTTGGCTGGATGTGGGTTAAGTTATTTGATTGGTTTGGTTTGGTCTCAGACACCCAACATTTGTATTCTTACTTGGAAATTGGTTATAATTGAAGTCTGGAGTGTGGTTTGCCAGAGACACAGAAATGTAACGAGTTCCAGTGCTTTGCTAGAACGTGGGAGTGTTTTGGTGGGACTGTGTGCTTTGCATTCATTGACTACTGGATTTACTCCAAGTAGGGCTTAGTTTATATTTGTGTGGTGTTGATTATAGTGAAAATAGCAAATAACTTGAATTTTAGAAAGGCTGCATATATATGCCTATGCCCTTTGTTCTTGTGAAAACTCATCTTGCAGATGTGCCTGTCAAAGTAAGAAAAACCTGTTGGCTGGAGAGGTTTAGTGGGACAAAGTCAGCCAAACTTTTATATTGATCTTTTGCCTTTGCTTAGGAATAAACCTCTAATCCTGCACTGCTTTTAGTAAATGGAGAAAAAGCCACAGCAAACAGCAGATAAGAACCCACAACTCCTCAAGCTTTGCTGGCAGAGCCTATCAGTTTCTAACTTGATTTATACTCAGTCATTTTTAAGTTGTTATCCTTTTCAGTTGCTTAAGTACGCAAACAAACATTTTGGGGACATAAAAATTATATCCCTGGTGGTGTTGTAAAATACACAGAGGATTTAGTGTGTTAAAAGTTAGGAACTTCCAAATTAAAGTATTTCTTGGTGTCAGTTCAGCAGATTGGTCAGCTCTGTCTCATGAAATCTGAAAGGTCTGCTGGAGGCATGGATTTCTGTCCCTTAACCACAGATATTTTTTTCCTTCTTACTCCTGCCTAGACACACCAACTTCTCTGTGACCTCCTAGGAGCTGACTTTTATAGTTTAAGGGGGTGGCTTGGTGATATTTTATTCCCTGGCTTCCTATGCATGACAGTTCTTCCAGATGTTCCCATGGGCAGCAGAGAAGCAGCAGGACAGCAGGATTTACTGAGGGTCTCTATGATGCTTGCAAGGGGTTGGAAACAAGTGATGTTTTTGTGTCGCACTTTGTAGCTTTGCAGCCCTTGAGGTCTTGGTGGGGAAACCGAGTCATGACCCAGTGTGTGCTCTGCAAACTGGCCTTGGCTTGTGCCATTTCTCTTGGCTGGGCCTTGGGCGGGGCTGGTGACCCGAGTTTGCAGAGGTAGGTGATGGCAAGCTTGCTGTCTGAGGGGTTGTTGTGCAGAGATCCTTGGAGCCTTCCCGAGGGAAGTCAGCAGATGGCAGCATCCCTTCGGTGCCCTCAGAATTCGGGCCGGGGACTCTCGAATTCTACTGTTCTGCCTCTGGAACAAACGTGATGGTCTCTTGGGCTCCCTCCTAAGGCGTTTATCACAGATACTTCAGATCATTTGTTGTATTTGTTTGATAATTTACTGCTTCAAAGTCATGGAAATCTGTGAGGGGCTCAGTTTTTTTTAAACTCAATTTCCTGTTTTTCTTTCAGCTCACGAGTTATTAGCAAAGAGGTGGATTATTCCTTAATTCCCTTGTCATGAAGTTTCTTCCTTTCTGCTGTCAGGGCAAAGTTGTGCTCCACAGATATGCGTAACGTCAGAAGCTCCAGCTAAGTGCCTGATGTGAAACATTTAAATCCGTGCTTCTGGCATTGTTCTCAGAGAAATTTTCTTCATGTAAACAAATAAAAGTTTTACAGCGGCCTGCCAGCTGTTGAAAACCAAAATTTTTACATTTTTAAAATTTTTTTTTGTAAGTGGAGAACTATCAAGTACAGGGGTTTTATTGCAGGAGTTGAGATGAACTTGTTGCTGAACATGTGGAGACTTGCTACAGGGCAGTACAGATTAGTCCAGTCAATACTGATATAAATGTACTGTGTTGTATGTGTGCTTAAAGCTCTACATCTCTACTGTAGTAGCTACCTGCTTCTGTTCAAAATAGGTGTATTTGTCGTCCCTTCCAGACCTGTTCTCCAGGAATGCAACTCTGAGCCTCATTTCTCTGGAAAAATGGGCTGTGGAAGAGATGCATATGAGCTTTTACAACTCTCTGTATTTGCTTCCATGGCATCTACAAGAGATGAAGTCTCCAGTTGTTGGATTTTTTTCATTAACAGCTGGTTTATAGGTGTTGTCTTCTTCACAACACTTCCTATTGCTTCTTGCAGGGTTGAGATGCAGAAGATGAAAGTGGTGAGGCCGCCTGCTGATGTGGCCAGGTACACGATGATCTTCCACAACCGTGACCATGGTAATGAGGAGAATCGAGAGAGGTAGGTCAAGAATAGGTTTCTTGCATTGTCTTGCTCTGTGGCTGAGCCAGGCACCTGGGGGACAAGTTCTTTGCCCTAAGCCATACAGGCTTTTTGTGGTGCCCAGAGGCTCTGGGGGACATCCCTGTGACAACACTGTTCACAGCTGTTTTCTCTACATGAGATCTTCCTAGAACTGACTGGGTGGTGTTCCCTAGAAACTTCCAAAATTACACTTACATAGGTATGATTTGAGCATGATTTCAGATTGAGCCAAAGGATTTTTTCCCCCACAGATGGTTGTGGTGAAAACAGGAAAAACAGGATTTTGCATTCCCAGTAGATAGAAAATGGCAGTAGCTTTGCTTCCAATTTTACTGCCATTGGGAAAGCGCTGAAAACGCCTCTCCTGTGTGTGTCAATGAAGATTTTTCTCCTCTTTGTCCTCAGGATGAAGCTTCTCCGTCAGGTCTCAAGAACATGGAAGACAGATGGGCTGAATTCCTGTTCCTATAAACTGCTCTCTGTGGAACACAATGCGCTGTACATCAACATAACGGTGGACTTCAGTGTGCAGCCCAAGGTCTCATAGGGGCCAGCATGTCTCAGGTTATAGGAAATGCCAACAGATCTCCTTTGTGGCTGCTGTTAGATCAGATGACTTCCAGCACCTGCTTGGAAGAGTTCTTCAGTAGCATAGGAGAAAGTGTTCCTGCACAGCATCTCATTGACTGGTTGAGAGTTTCCTTTTGTGAGGACTGGAGTTAGACTGACCCAATGGACAGGTCCTCATGTTCTTCTATGCACTTTTTGCTGGGACTTTGGAAAAAGTGTCCTTGTTTGGGCTGGTCCAGTGGAAGGACTTGAATAAAGTCCCTGAAAAAAAATTTGATTTTGCAACTATTTCTAAAGTACAATAATTCTTCAAGAATGACAAACTTGATGAGAAAAGTTAATTTTTTCTAGCCTAATGAAAAACTGCTTATGTGTGAGGGAAGAGCAGTAATGGTAATGGGCAAGATGTTACAAATTTCTCAATAAATGCGGTCCACTGAACTCCACAGTGTCTCGTCCTTCACACCACAGTGTCCCCTGCTGAGGGGCTGCTGACATGTCCTGTGGCAGTGCTCAGTCTCATTCTGCAGCAGGATGCCTGTTACTCTCCAGGGATCAGGAAGAAAAGGCAGTAGTCAGCTGTGCTGGAGGGGGAGAAATTCCTTTCCACGTATTTTAATGCTCTGGGCCACACTGTTAGCAGAGTACAATGTATTTGTATACATAGGCCATTATCATCTGTGAATCTTGTTTAAGAAACAGGTGAAAGGCTGTGGACGGCCAGCTGTTTCACTGTGCTGCTGAATCTGTGCACCAGTCTTGGTTGGAGCACTTGACTTACTACATTGTATTTAACTGTCTTTACATGTTGATGCGAAGCCAGGCTTGGGGGAGTTTCTTTTAGGACATTATTCCAATTGTGGAGAAGACTGAAACTAAATGTTTGTAAGTATAGTGGCATGGATGTAGCTTTTCAGTGATGAAGGCATTTTGGTATCTTCAAGTAAAAAGCCAAAATACCCTGTGTCATACGCTCAAAATAACTAGATCTGGCAGGCAGTGCTACAGACTGAGTTGGCAGAGAAAGTTTACAGCAAGGGCAAGGGTTTGGGCAGACTGTGTCAGTCTCACAGTCAGATAAGTACAAATGCATTCCTGCCAGGGTCACAGCTCCACTGCTGACATGTTTGACTTAGAGGGAAAACTAGTATTTAATTTCTCAGAAGTATTTTATATTGAAGACAGCTCAGCCTTGAATAATACTTAATGTCTGAGCAACAGCTGCAGTAGTAGATTAATTTCTCTGCCCTGAGCAGGGGGTTACAGACTCAGGTCCCATTCAGTCTGCATTCCTTGCAGCTAAAATAAAGTAATTTAAACAATGGTGATTTGGGTCAGGAAAAAAATTATCATAGATTTAAACTCTGGCTTGTCTGGTTTCAGGGCAACACTCTCTTTGTTATTACACTCTTATTCAGTATTATATGTAAAACTCTTAAGCCAAACACATAACTCCATTTATTTTACTCAAATTCACAAAAGTTATTTATAGAACTGTAGCTGGCTTCAACACCTTCTCAAAATACAACATGTCAGAGGCCAATCTGACAGAATGGCTTGCATCCCAATTAACACTTAAGTACAAAGCAGGACAGAGCTATCCAGCTACTGACCAAAGGTTCCAGAAAGCTTGGATCAGCTTACTGTCACAGAGACATGGCTCAGGAGTCAGTTTTACAGTGAGTTGGATGATTTTTAGATAAGCCACAGACTGTTTAGTATCTGTCGTATCCTGTTCCTGGAGCCTCTTCTAAATCTGAAACTGTCTGAAGAAAAGTGAAAGGCAAAAGGGTTAATCTCAGGTGGGGCAGACTCCACAGGAAAATGGGAAGGATTGGCTAAATGCCCATGTGGCACCCAACCTCTGCTTTTGTTTTCAGTCTCTTAAGAAAATGGAGGAGCGTATCCAATGTCCACAGTGATCTTGGTATAAAGAGGATGCTTAGTCCTGGAAAGGATCCTGAACTGTAATGTGTTCATTCCATCAGCTTTCCATGTTTTTCTGGTGTTGTGTCGGGAAGGAGGCCTGAGGGAGGAAGAATACCTGCAGTTAGAAGAAAGAAGGTAACATTTGCAGCTCAAGCTGCAGAAGAAAGAGTCTTCCAGAGGGCAGAAAAGCGCTGAGACAATTCTTCCCACATACAGACTGAACCGATTAGAGTGAGTTCATACTGAGTGTTCCAAACAAGGAGGACAATTTGGACTGGACCCTGATCAGAGAGGGAGACCAGTGAGGTAGCATCTACAGTCTCCAAATGCCACGAAGCTGTCGGCAGCTTACAGAGACCTAAGAGTGCAACACAGAAGTCTGCAGCCACGGTGTACATAGGCTGCTGTAGGTAGGTTTTTGACAGGGTTGTTATGGAAACCTGAGTTTCGAGATGATAAAGAGAAATCCGCACTGTCGGTTTGAGAAGCCTCCACCACACTTGACCCAACACCCTCCTCCAGCTCTTCTATATAAAACAGTCTTTGATAAAGTCTCTCATAGCACCTTTCTCATGTCTTCAAACTAGAATATTGCTTTCCGCTATTTTAATGGCACGTTGTAACTCCACACAGACTGAACAGCAAGCTTTTAATATTGGGAACTTGTAACACAGTGCCTCTTCAAACTGAAATCTCCCTATTTACAAGAGAGGCAGTTATTTTTTCCTTTAAGTTTTACTTCCTGTATAATATATGTGTAAAATATAATTCCTTAAATCTCATGTGTTGGTTTCCTAGCTGCCATGTGTCCTTCACAATAGGAAGAAAAGGCAGGAAACCAGGAGAAATCCTTCAAATGTGAAGACAGGAGTCAAATGATTCAGTTGAAACTGACTGGGGTCTGCTTTTAAAAAGCCTTCCTAAAGCAGAAAAAGCAGCAGTGACATGAGGCCATATGTAGCCTGTGCTGGGGAAGATGACAGCAACAGCCAACCTGCCACAAGACCCAGAGTAGCCCCAGCCCCAGCAGGTACCTCCTCCAAGGCTCTTGGATCTCTGTCTCTTCACTGTAGTCCATCACTCGGTAGCGTCCAAGGTGAGGTGATGTCCGGACTATTTTCATTCCTGCTAAGTGAATCCTTTAAAACACCATAAAAAAAGTGTTTGCTTAGGCACAAAGATGCCACTCCCAGGCTTATGGTCAGAGATGATTTTCAGTGCTAATGCAATAAAAACAAAGCGCAGAAGCAGCACAGGGCCACATGATCTTCTCTAGTGGGCTCTAGGCCAGGCTTGGGCCAGAAAGCTCCCAGCTGCAGTGCACTTTGACAGGGCACAAGCGGATTAGAGCAAGCAGGGAATGAACTACAACATACAGAGCATTCCAGAACAGTTCCCCTGAGTCTGACAAATAGGCATTATTCCACTTGCTCCTAAGAGCAGAGCTTGTGCTGCCTAGAGGTCCATCACCTAAACTTTAAGGAAAAAAAAAATAAATAAAAAGAGACCTCAAACTTGCAGTTTCTGAAAAGAAGCCAGTTCTGAGTTTCAAAACCAGATTAAGCCTCTCTGTTCTTTGAGAAGTGCCAGTCATTCAGATGGCCTGATTCGACTGGTTCATAAAAGATTAGGGATAAATACAGGCACCAGACAAACATATGTAAACTCAGTTGCAGGACAGTTAGATAAGAAAAGAGGAACTGAAGGCTCAGAATTACAGAACAGAGCTTCTAAACCCAGAATTTTGGGTGACTTTCAAGCAACCCACAACCCACTTCCGATAGCATCTATGTTATTTTGCCAATAAAAAGTGCCTTTAATAGTGCTAAGGCTACCAAACCTCTGTTATCACATGACAGCCCTTAGGCAGAGAAAATTCCTGTGAATATAAGAATGAATGTTTGCACAATTGAGGTTATCTAACTGGCATGTTTGCAGCATTTGACTGCGTTCCATTGGGATCTGATACAGCAGGAATGTTATAAAGCTGAAAGGCTACAGAATTGAAAATATTTGTTCGGCTTGAGCCATCAGATGATTATAACACTTCACTGACAGTGTTATAATTCCATTATTTCAGATGGAGTTTTAGACAAAGTTTCTTGCTTTCTGAATATAAGCTTATGACACATTCAATGATAAAGAGACAAAAAAGCAAGAACACTAAACTAGCTTTGCTGTTACAGTTTTTTGCATTGCAAATGAGACTAAAACTGAACCGTTAATGCATTCATTTACTGTTAAGAAAAGCCCAACAGACTTTCCTGTAGTTGAAAATGTTAACACATGAGTGGTTCTAATTAGAATAGTGTTTTCTTCTAATAAAAGGTAGATCCTGGTATTTGCTACAACTTGTATTATAGAGTACTGCAGTCTGCCAACTCTAAGTAGCAGCTGGCAGTTTTTTTCATTAACTCTGCTTTTAATAAGCAGTATCCCAGGAAAAAAGAATTCATCTTTGCACAGAATTTTTTAAAACTGGACACTGAAATGTCAAAAAAACAGATTCATTAATTTTTTTGCAACATGGTAAGAAGTGCTTGAGCACCTCCTAAAATCCTGATCCCAGCTGGTCTTGAAGAACCGGCAGTTCATTCCTAACTTCTGCAGGTTGAGACTTCAGAATGTGAATAAATCATTAACAAGAGTTATCCATGGCCTCCATGTATCTCTGGGCCAAAACATTGCTAATCATTAGTGTAAGTTTTCTCTGAAAACATAGGCTCTAATTCCCTTCCAGAAAAGGCTATTTTGGGAGCTATATAATTCACTTGCCTTCCAGGATTCTCTTCAAAGAAGCACACTCCTATGCATAAATGGCATGACTACCCTGGGTACCAAAAACCAAATTAGACGCCTAAGCTGTACTAAGAACAGCTGAATAGACCCAGCATTGAAGTACTTGATGTAAAGATCTATTTTCCTGGCATTCTATTCCTTTCATAAATGCTGACTCTCTAAACAACCATACAACTTTTTAGTTGGCTTTCTCTGAAAGGCAAAGGAGGAATTCTATGTTAGAAAAATCAGGCTTTCAATTCCCAGATGAATACTGCTTTTAAAAAAGCCCATGTAACTTGTCACATTATGCAAGACCAAAATAACAAAGGCTTCCATGGTCAGTTCAGTTTTATAAACTCCCCATGAGCCTGCCTCAGTGCTGGATCATAAAGGTGCAATTCCAAAGCTGAATGAATAGAGAAGCTGCAACCATGATTCTGTACTTGAAGGATTCACATTAGGCAGAGCACCTGGAACTAAACTCATCTATAGAATGCTGCTGCCTTGGCAACCAAAGTACAAGAAAAACCATCAACTCTTGCTGTCACTGACTCACACTGGTACACAGGCTCCTCCATCACCCAGCACTGCAGACAAAAGATAGAATTCCTTGTGTTCCTTAATGCCAAGTGTCAGTGATTAGGTAACACTTGGAGCAGCCTAAATGCACTTAACTTAAATTCCCAGCTGTCTGAGAATTAGTTAAGTACCTTCTTATTCGTCAAGCTTGC